CACCCCCCCCCCCCCCATCTCTCAGGGTGCAGGTTTTTCCATTTCCCCCTCCAAAGACCCACAGCCACCTGGAAAGGTCTGCTCTTCTCTGTCATCTGTCTCAGGAAGCTCTGGTTCGTCTTCAGAGAAGGATCCCTCCAATAAGAACACAACGCCCGCTCCCTCTTTGGCCTTAACAACCCTTCATTTTTAAGACGAGTATAATAGTGATCTGTTTTACAGGATGGTTCTAAAAATAATGGCAAGTGCTTTGGAAGCTCTGCACTAAAATATCCATCTATTCTCTTATTTATATCTGGATCTTTATCCATGTATGTTTGTCTAAATACCTACTTTTCAGTCTACCATGCCGAGAAGCAAAGGAGGATATGGAAGCTGGTGACTCTGATATTGCAGGGAATTTTAGTGAATCCACTCCACGTTTTAGTTTGGATTTTAAAAGAGCTAGCCAAGGCTGAACCTATTTGAGGAACAGAGTGAGGAAGGAAGGAAGATCTACAAGTCAAATCTATTTGCAAAACTATCTAGATAGCCCCAAACAATTCCTCATGAGTGTCCAAGTATCTTCCGGGCAGTGCAGGATGACTCAATGTTTTATTTTGCATGCAAGTGTCTCTCACTGGGCAGGCCCCGAGAAAGACAATTTTGCCTATCAGGATCATTGTAGACTGTGGTAGACTCTGCTCCTACAAAAGCCAACACAGACCACAAGGAATAGCTGCAGCAAGGCATGGATGAGACAAGTTGCTGCGGCTATCCCCAGATGGCAAGTGACCCATGGAAAATAGTCAACTTTGCCAGTTCCTCTGTCATCATCATCATCATCATCATCATCATCATCATCACATTTTACTTTATGTGCTATACAGGAAAAAAGTACACAAAGACACAGCTTTATCTGCTTCTTTATTTCGAGTTGACTACATTAAATTAAACAATAAGGCAACACAGTCATCCTGTTAATATTGACAAGAGGCAGAATGCTTCCAGTGTCCTCCAAGGAGGAGCCAGATAGATGTTTCTGCAGAATTATATGAAAATACATCCTAACAGTTAATCCTATATGCTAAAAGATTAAAAGGGGGGGAAAGCCTCTGAAGTATGTCCAACTTCTCTATACGTTTTAAGAAGCTTCAGTGCAAGGTCATCTGAACTCTGTTAGCTAAACTCCAAAATATTATTCAGCCAAGAATTAGCTTGGGAGAGGTTAAACTGGGGATTATTTGAAGTTATTTCATAAACTGAGAGCAGGAGACAGTAAACACTACAGATTTAATAAACACTGGCTACATTTCTTGAACTCATGCTTTACATTGTGTATAGTCTATGTAAGCCTGTGAACATCAAACTCTTTTTCTTCTTTCATTTTTCACACTCACTGCACAAACTGGAAAATAAGGCATAACCTTCATCCAGACACTGCCAAGCAAATGACAACTATCTAAACACCCTCGAATATCTTGCAATCTACAAGGAAAGCACTTTCCAGCAATTTTGAGCTCATCTTCCTTTCTAGCCAAATTGAAAACAGGCTCTCTTTTTTCCCTCTCAGTTTTGGGCCACAAAATAAGCAGTCCCATTGTACTGTATATCAGTTCCCAAAAGACTGCATCCATGTTATCTTGATACCTCTATGACTCCCCATACTGAATCAAAACTTTATTCAAAGGATAAGGAGAAAAATCAGGTCACTTAGTTCCACTGAATTTCTTCTCTGTAATCCAGAAAAAAAGTTCAGAAGCTTATGTTGGAGCATTTACATATACAGTATTTATATTTGTAGTTTGCTCTGCAATACTGAGTTTAGAGAACTCAGCAGAAATTAGATTATAGCTCTGGGATTTAACAGAGCAAAACTATTTATTCAACTTGGTGCTAACACAGCCTTTAAAAAGCCATTCACTTATGCTTATTATGGTTTGGAAACCAATTTTTAAGTACATTTAGTGCAAAAGAAATGCAGTGGGTTCTGGTAGCTACTTTTTCAAGAGATCTTACATTCAAAGCATACATTGGAAAGGTGATCTCATCCACAAAAATGATCAAATATCTTTGGTGGTTATCTTATTCCTAAAGAAATAATATAACAGAAACACTAATACATGCCTCTCTTCCCAATCTTCCAGTCAAACTCTGCTTCACTAAGTACATTACAGCTGCATTTTTTCATTTATAGATCACTCTGGATCCTGTTTCATTTTAAATCTGCATTTTCCAACCTAAAAGTAGCAGAAATTTTGCCGCCAAAAGTTGCAAAATATTAGGATGGCACATAAATGCCTTCCTCTAAATGACGTCCCTTAATAAAACATGTAAGACAAGAGAACATTTCATGAAATAACAAAATTTGGTACATGAGTAAAAGGTTAATAGGTGCCAATTAACACATTATGCCCAGCAGAAGATGGAAGCAAGAGCACATCATGCTGCTGATGCCAAACATCACTTTATTAGAAGGTGGTACTGCAGCTTTGGAATAATTATTACTGTGAACACAACCTACCACAAAGAAGAGATTTTGGCATTATTTAATTTGATGCTAAACTGAGGCAAAGGAAACCAATACAGTTTTCTGCTAGAAATTTTGAATTATTTTATCAAGTAGTAAAACAAGATGGCCACAAATACACACAGTGAACTTTGTGTGATAAAGCTGACCAAGCATGTGGCACAGTGGACGAACCACCCATTTACATAGTAGACATTTCAGAAAGGAAGCAAAGGAACAAATCACCCAGGAGTGCAGTTCTTCTCTTTCAAATCCATATCTGCATCTTTTAGCTGAAATTTGTCGTTCGTGTTCACATCCAAAGGAGCCTACATGATGCAGTGCCTTCAACATTTTTTCAGGGTGTGTTCTTTTACAATAGTGACATGGTGTAGTGTGTGACCATCATTTAGGATCAAGTGTTGGATAAGTTTCATGGAAGCAGAGGGCCCAAACTGAGCTCCACGTGGTGAGTAAGCCAGATGACCTCACAACTTTGATCACTTTCCTCTGTGGGCCGGATTGGAGCAGCAAGGTTTTTGAACTCATGTTTCATCTTAAAACTTACAGTAACTTCCCCCTCCTCTTTCTGTGGGGTGACCTTGATGAATATCCCAACTTTGTTAGCCTTCCGGAAGGCTATGATGCTGCAAAATCAGAAAAAAAGAATGTCTTTCAAATTAATAGCGCCTTTATTTTTAAAGAACTCTATGCAACTATTCCCACCTATTCAAGGAAGGTTATTTGATTCAGTGGAAGCCTTCCTGAATGGCAGGATGAAGGAGGTGTTTTCTGCTGACTCTCAATTTTTCTTGCAACCTATAGTGTCACTTCCCACAGTGTTCTGGAGGATGCCCCAACTCTCTGGATCAGAAAATAATTTCCACCCACAGAGAGAACTGGTTGGGGTGGAGTGTGTGTGTTTGTTTATGCTTTGTAGTTGCATTTTTAGAGGCATAAGAGTTATGCACGGATTTTGAACTATACAACAGTCCTGGCACCCCTAATCCCAGTTTTGTCGAAGGGAAAAGTGTACTTCATAAAACAGTCAACTTTAAATTTTACACATTTGTAAAATGTGCTGTTAATCTGAAAACAATCATTTGAAGAAGGTGGTGTAGCTGAATCTTAGCTAGACACTTGCCTTTGCTACCTTATAACTATATAAATAGTGTATTATGTGAAGTACTTTATTCTGCTTGTATTAAAGCTACTGCCAATGAATTTCAGTGGATAACATCAAGGTTCTAATGTTTTATGACAGGGAGAAAAACTTGTAACTACTATATCATTTTCAAAAAGTTAAAATACAGAATAGAAGAAAAAGACTATTGGTGAAACATCAAACTTGGTGACAAAATGGAACAGAAGCCATAGGCAAAGTTTTTTTTAGAAAGAGAAAAAGGATCACTCTTACTCAGGGTCATCCTGAAAATCTTGAGGTTCTGCAAGTTCATCGTATTCTGCAGCTGCATCTTTGCCAGCTAGGATTAGCTCCTTGGAGGGAACCACCACCTGAAAAAATTGTATAGAGAAATGATCTACAGCAGTATCCACCCACGGTTTTCCTTCTAGCCTCTGCAAAATTTACAGACCACAGGAGAGACAGCAGAAGACTATTACACTAGCATGAAATTTCCAATGCAGTAACTTCAGTGAAGTCTCCGGACTCTTCCTTCATACTTGTGAAAACTCCTGAGGTGGATGTTGAGGACACAACAATAATAACAAGTATGGAAGAATAGTAAACAGAGAGTTTGGTATCAGAGTGGTCAGAATCGGCAGAGCTGTTAATAATGGAGTCCTGTTTTTCCTGTATCACAGATGAGCACTTGAAGAACTACAATTACAGGTAAGCAACCTGTGCATATGAAGCCATCATAAGTCAACAAGAACAAAACACTATACAGAAATACAGTTTGTGTCTCTTCTAGCATTATATCAAGGTGAGCATCAGGATCTATTCTAGTGAGGGTGAACCTTGTGACGTTCACCCTTGACCCCTTGCTTGACCGTCAAGCCTTAGAGCACACGAAGGCAAACAATTCTCTCACTGCTTCCACCAGGCGATCTCTATATCATCATTACTTCAAAAAGATTCAGATCCTCACTTCAAGTTCTTTTAAATAAAACTTTGGTTTATTGATTACAGAGATTAATTCCTAAATATCTTCAGTAGCTAATCACACCTCAGAATTTCTCAAACTACACAGTATTACTCTGTCTGACTTTTTTCTACTGCCTGACTCTTACATTTCTCTTACTCACTGGTTCTTAACCTTGGGTTACTCAGGAGTTTTGGACTGCAATTCCCAGAAGCCTTCACCACCAACTCTGCTGGCTGGGATTTCTGGGAGTTGCAGTTCAAAAACATCCGAGTAACAAAGGTTAAGAACCACTGCTCTTACTGACTCCAGACTGACTCAGGCTCCGCTTCTTATAGCATCTCTCTCGGCTCCGCCTCTCAGCAACATTAATATGCATGAACCATTATTACATAACAAACATAAACCATTACATAATATAACATGAACCATACACCTAATAAATAGAGAACACTGCATACCTTTGCTGTACTATTGATGTTATCAGGATCACCTTCCTCACATTCTTTCAATGTCACATGTGTAAGGTTCTCTACTGGATTGGTCAGAGTTAGAAGAACTTGACTCTCCTGCAAAAAACAACAACATATAAACATGATACAACATTCCTTTTAGAAAAAAAAATTGCCTTGATTTTTTGAGGTTTCATGACATGCATCTCTGTCCAATATCTCTAAAATTTACTCATTTATCCCATATTTTCAGAGGAACTATCTTTCTAAATTTAAACCTCCACTGCCTTGTGGCTATATCCACTTATGGAAAGGGCTTCAGGAGATAACCTCGAGGCAAAATCCAGAGCCGGAGTCCTGGAGGCATTTTCTTTCATTCTGCCAACTCCTGCGACGTTGCTGGAACCAGTTGTATTGGCTCTTGCCTTTCCACTGGACCATTTCAGAATAGAGAACACTGCATACCTTTGCTGTACTATTGATGTTATCAGGATCACCTTCCTCACATTCTTTCAATGTCACATGTGTAAGGTTCTCTACTGGATTGGTCAGAGTTAGAAGAACTTGACTCTCCTGTAAAAAAAAAAAACATAAACATGATACAACATTCCTTTTAGAAAAAAAATGCCTTGATTTTTTGAGGTTTTATGATATGCATCTCTGTCCAATACAGTGGTGCCTCGCACAGCGAGGTTAATCCGTTCTGGATTAACCCTCGCTGTGTGAAAGCATCGTTGAACGGAACGTAAAAACCCATTGGAATGCATTAAACATGGTTTAATGTGTTCCAATTGGGCCGAATACTCACCGTTCAGCGATGCTTCAGGATGGCCGGCACCCATTTTCGTGCCCTCCCCTCGCTTTACGAGGGTGTGAAAACGCTGCGCACTGCCATTTTGTAGCCGCCGAACAGCTGATCGGCGGGTCGCAAAGCGAAGGCCGGTAAGCGAACCGCTTACCGACCTTCGCTCTGCGATTTTCGCCCTATGCAGGCACCGTTTTGCGATAGCATTTGCGATCGCAAAACCGGCCTCGTAGAGCGAATTCATCGCTCTACAAGGCGCCCGTTGTGCGAGTCACCACTGTATCTCTAAAATTTACTCATTTATCCCATATTTCCAGAGGAACTATCTTTCTATTCTCATACAGAAAAAATTGATCCCTGCACTCACATAACAGAGATATTTCTCAAGTGCCACAGCTACATATCAGAAACAAAGGCTCAAGTTGGGCTCAATTCACATCGCACTACACTTAATGAAGCATAACTTTGGGTTGATATGATATCTGAACTGCAGCGTTTGGCTGTAAGTATGCAACCCATCTTTTGTGCAAACTGGTGTGTGCCATGAGACCTCAATGGATTAATCACAGATGTACTTCTCAGAAGCTCCTGCTCAACAGAAATATAAGTGCTGTGCCTAAGAGGACAAACAGCTGTAAATCACTGTCTCCTTGTGTAATTCAGCATTCAAGACATTATACCAAAAGGAAGTTTTTAATTGCTGAAAATTGCCCCTTTTGATGATGCCATCACCCTTCTGCAGATTTAAGTTACACAACAGAATTTCAGCCATTTCTTAATACCAACTCATACATGCCCCTGAAAGCTTTCAAGTTCCACCTGAATAGAGCCCTAGCAAAGTGAACAAGAACTAACCTTCATGTGGCGAAGATTGGGAATGGACATGATTCTAACTTCTGGGATGTAGTTTCTACAAATATAAAAGAAATGAATAAATAATGATGAAACACGAGCACATCCCCTTGTTTTTGCTTATACTCTTACTTTTTATTTAAGATGTTTTAGAAATCTGGTTCACCTTTCAATCCAGACTGACTTTTTCACAATGTTGATACTGTACTGTATTTTAAAAATGGGTAGGAGTATAAGACAGAATAGAGTGAATTGTTTAATCTTTCCTTTTATTAAGGAGGAAACTAGCATAAGAAAGGCTTGGAAAACTGAATTGTTTACTTTTTTTAAAAGGAGGAGATTACATGCTTTACACAGGGAGAGGCAACCTAGGTCATTCCACAAGTTAAAAGAAACTCCTGTAAGCATGACTTATAAAGGACCTGGAGGATAACACATTGCCTACCCTGTAGTAAAAGGTACTTGCAACTTACCACTTTATTTTTATCAAGAATAAGTGCATGTATGGGATGACACAAAAACAGCATGCATATACCAAAAACAGAATATAAAACAATACGATTACAATTATATTATGGTAACAATTATGCTATGTAACATAATTGTTACAGAACTTCAATAAAACATAGGAGCACACTCTCTAAGGAATGTTTTGTTCCTCGTATCACATTGCTCTTGGGTAAATATTATGTAATGTATATAATTACATGACATCAAATTCTTTCCAACTTATGGTGATTTCTTCTAGATATTTCTAGGTTTCAAATATTCAGAAGTAGTTTACCATTCCCTTTTTTTTTGGGGGGGGGACACCCTGGAACTGTGCAATTTGCTAAGGTTTCACAGACTGGCTCTTATCCTCACAGGTGTTCTGGGGATTCAAACTCCTGACTTTTGGCTCCACAGCCAATATGCAACTCACTAAGCTATCTGCCCAGTGGATTGCAGAACATGAATTTTTTTAAGTTTGTTTTAAAAGTTAGGTTGGCCTCCATACTCACCTCCCTCACCAGTTACCTTTCTAGGGCCAGGACCTTTTGTCTTGTAAGCCCTCATCTATAGTGTCAAGCAGGACAATCCAAGCATTTCAAAAACTAGGTCCAAGTCTTAAAATATTTTTGCCTTTATCTATTTCCAGAATACTTACACAGCTACCAGCTGAATTTTGAATTTGATGGATGTAGGATTGAACTCTGGCTTACTCAGATTGTGTTCACATTTCTATGGGGGGAAATAACATGAAAATAAAATTTGTGTAGCCAAACAACAGTTATAGATATAAATGTCACTATAAGCCACTCTTATGATCTAGTAGAAAAACGAAAACATAGGAAGGCCCCTCAAAATTAAATTCAGATACTAAAGTACCTATACCTAGCTTCAGGCCTCTGTAGCTCAGAATTCCATTTCTGATGGTGGTCAATGATGTGCCTATAGGATTGTTGCAAGTAAGGTATGGAGGCAACAGCTTTCTCTTTCTCCTGGTTGATTCATGCCAGCTGGCTGTGGGATTTTATACAACCATACTGAATAGTAGTTATTATTGAGAGATTTGTGTGACAACCCCAGACCTACTGGGATATGCCACACTTTCACTAAGCTGCCACCAACCATTCCCTGTAAGGAGTCACACAGACCAGGAATGGATTTTTAACAAACAAAGGAATAAGGTTTATTTAAATAACACACAGGGAAAATAAAATGATCAAGTGAATAAGATACAGTAACGTGGCTTAGTCTCAATCATACATACACCAGTTTGGTTCACACAGAATATGCAACTCACTAAGCTATTTGCCCAGTGGATTGCAGAACATGATTTTTTTTAAAAAAGTTTGTTTTAAAAGTTAGGTTGGCCTCCATACTCACCTCCCTCACCTGCTACCTTTCTAGGGCCAGGACTTTTTGTCTTGTAAGCCCTCATCTATAGTGCCAAGCAGGACAATCCAAGCATTTCAAAAACTAGGTCCAAGTCTTAGAATAATTTTTCCCTTTATCTATTTCCAGAATACTTACACAGCTACCAGCTGAATTTTGAATTTGATGGATGTAGGATTGAACTCTGGCTTACTCAGATTGTGTTCACATTTCTATGGGGGGAAATAACATGAAAATAAAATTTGTGTAGCCAAACAACAGTTATAGATATAAATGTCACTATAAGCCACTCTTATGATCTAGTAGAAAAACGAAAACATAGGAAGGCCCCTCAAAATTAAATTCAGATACTAAAGTACCTATACCTAGCTTCAGGCCTCTGTAGCTCAGAATTCCATTTCTGATGGTGGTCAATGATGTGCCTATAGGATTGTTGCAAGTAAGGTATGGAGGCAACAGCTTTCTCTTTCTCCTGGTTGATTCATGCCAGCTGGCTGTGGGATTTTATACAACCATACTGAATAGTAGTTATTATTGAGAGATTTGTGTGACAACCCCAGACCTACTGGGATATGCCACACTTTCACTGCAACTGGCAATGACCAGATCTTATGGAAGAATACCATAAGTTAATTATATACAGAATGAATTACTTTGTTTTGTCTGTCCGACATCTCCTGACAACTGGTTTCCATGGATGTTGCCAAGTTTTGCAACTCAGTCAATTTCAAGAATCAATTAATTACACCTTGAGTCAAACAAATGCACAACTCTTTCTTCAGGTTAAGATTCTTTGCACCCTATTACTTGAAACTGTTATATGTTAATAACGTTCAGAGTCCATACTGTCCTGCATCAGTTTTTTTTAAGATACCACTTTGAAAGACACCAATCTCCTTGGAAAACAGAGGTAGCAACTCTGGCAGATTTGGGAGTGCTAATTTTCTGTGCCTTGGTACACCTCTAGGGGCTGAACAGCCTGCTGAAAATATCAAAAACTGGAAGGAAAAATGAAACCTAAAGTAGCTAGCAGTCAATTTCCAATTTTGGAAAATAGGTATTTGAGGGTCTTAAACCATTTACGGAGGGCAACAATCTAGTGACCTATATAAAAAACAAAGTACTACTTCTGGAAATTTTCAGGAACTTAATCCAATCCAATTAATCTCTCCATTCCAGAAAAAAATAGGGTGAAGTGAAAATAGCTTTAGGAGAATGCTCACAAGTCCGTGGCCTGCACTATGCCTACTCCAGTACCAGAATGCAGAGAAGCATCTTGGAAAAAGTTAAATAGAGCAGAACTAAACATACATGGTTAATAAGTAAGATTTTATAGATATCAGTACATAGCTTAAATTCCTCTCATTCTCTATTTTTCTTAACCAAATTATAATATGTTGCTAATTAGACCATTAGTATCTCAGATAAGCAACTGTTCCCAACTGGCTATAGAAAAAAAATTATTCATTTCTACCACATGCTTAGCAATCCATTGTCTGAACACTTGTACTTTTTTGGAGCATGGGGGTATTCTGCCTGAAACCCTGCCCATCAAGTTGACAATGTGGAGCTAGAAAGACAAATGGTTTTTCTCAGTATATTTTAGGTTTCTATGCACTAAACTATTTTGTGCATTTAACTATGAAAGAAAACAATTTGGAATGGTTCTTGAAACACATTTTTCTTCCTTTTCTGTATTTTAAACCTTGGAAGAACCTAATTCTTGGACAGGAGACCACCAAACTTTTCAGCTCTCTGAAAGTAGCTGTGTGAAATAAATTTAAATTACTTTCAACAGCAGCCTACATACCCGGCATCGTAGTGAACGTTTGATGAGCAGGTGCTTATGACGAGGGTAAAGTTGAGAAGCACAAATGGGCTGAAAATCTGGTTGGAGGAGGCGCTGTCGCAGGGTTGTCACTGTGCACAGCATGGAAATTTTTTTTAAAGTTTTTGGTTAATAGTCACAAGCAATAAGAAAGAATAAGCATTATCAGAATTCAACAGCCAGGACTGTCTGGCGCTGTAGATAAAATAAGCCAGTACCTTCTGTGAGATTGATTGGTCTGGTGTAATAATCTTCAGGCAGAGGTTCCACTTCCTCCACAGCCTGAGCAGGTTCAATTTTTATCTCTTTCTGGTCTTCTCCTTCTTTCAGCCTAGGGCAGAGAACAAAATTACTGCTTTGTAATCTTACAGAAATAATGGAGAAAATGAAATTTTCGGCAATAATCAATTATCGGCCTTTGGCCCAAAAGAAGTGAACTTTTGCAGAGAAACTGGAAGCTAGATATCCAGATGAACAGGATCCATTCAACAGCATGAGAAGGAGCATAAAACTACCCAAGTGAGTAGCATATAGGAACTGCTTTGCTGAGACAGTTTTCAAGTACAACCTTAGCATAACTGTTAAATAGGAGTTTTGGCATTACATGATAAAGAAAAGAGGAAAGAAAATAAGTAATGGATACATCCAGTGCACCTCACTTTCAGCCTTCTACTTACAAAACAGGTTTTCAAAGAAACCTGCCATAAAGCTTGGTAGCATTACCTATCTAATCAAATTCTAGGCATAATTACCACAATAAATCCAATTTAATACATTCTAAAGAGACATGTATTTCATGAGGGAACCAGAGGGAAAACTACATCCAGAAAGGGTTTAAAGGCTTACTGTCTCAGAAGACAGAAAATACAAAGAATAAACATGGGATTAAGTTACTAGATTCCTAGAGGCTTTCAAGAACAGAGGAATGCCTGCACCACTAAACTAATACATTATGATGAAGAAAACTAAAAGCTCTTGAGTAGGCATAAAATCCAGAAAACAATTACTGTTGCATAAAACCAGGTAACAACTGGAAAACAAAGTGTAAAAGCACTGCCTGGCACAATGGTACTGAAAGCTCACTCAGCTTTTTTCTAAAGCATAGGTTCCCAAACTTTTTTGCCCTGTAGACCACTTGCCGACTTATTTGTTTTCTGTAGACCCCCTATGCAATCGTAACAGCTACAAAATATGTATAAAATTTTGTCCTTACCACTCCTAAAGATGATTTTGATTCACTTGACTTTTACGTATTTTCTATCTATATTTTGAACGTGTTTTTAAGCCACTTTTCTTCTCAAAACTCAGAAAGCAACTGAACATCTCTAACACTCCTATTTATCAATTATGAATCAAACAAGTCCATGCAAAGCTTTGATACAAGTCTAAACAAGTACATGCACGTGCGATGTGTGTGCCCATATCAGTAACAAAATGTTGTCGATCCCATTTACAAAACATTGACATTTACCATAAAACTTTACCAATAATTTTATGAACTTACACATGAATGTAGCACACCACAATACCGATAGTACATAGTATCTAATTAAATAATATTATGAAATATTATGTACACAGAATCTGTGTTTGGTGTAATTATGGATCGTCTAAATCATATTATGATCTGCCTAATGGGATCTGCTCACATAGACCATTTACATCTCATGCACCCCCATTTTTTTTCTCTCTGACGTGGACACCTTGCAAATCAAAATCCACCCCTGAGGGTCCATATAGACCACTTTGGGAACCTCCTAAATGGAAGCACGTGCGATGTGTGTGCCCATATCAGTAACAAAATGTTGTCGATCCCATTTACAAAACATTGACATTTACCATAAAACTTTACCAATAATTTTATGAACTTACACATGAATGTAGCACACCACAATACCGATAGTACATAGTATCTAATTAAATAATATTATGAAATATTATGTACACAGAATCTGTGTTTGGTGTAATTATGGATCGCCTACATATTATGATCTGCCTAATGGGATCTGCTCACATAGACCATTTACATCTCGTGCACCCCCAATTTTTTCTCTCTCTGATGTGGACCCCTTGCAAGTCAAAATTGACCCCCGAGGGTCCATATAGACCACTTTGGGAACCTCCTAAATGGAAGGTACAAACGAGAAGACCTCCTGTCAACCCTGAGAGGAATAAATTATTCTCATAGCAAGTGAAACATAATTTGTGATCCTGCTGTAAGTGACACCACCAACACTGCACACTCATCCAGAGTCAAAAGAGGGTCTTTGTACTCACGATAGTCCAGTAAGGGCACTGATGGGCGCTCCAGGTCTCTGACGCTGGAGCCTGGTTCCAAGGCCATATTTATCCTATGAAACAAAAATATGCAAAAAGAGACAGACCTATTAGTAGAAAACAGACCTGCACACTTGTTTCAACAGCTGGCCTTATATGATGACTCAAATATGAAAAAGGAAACTGAAAATAGTGTTTTCTTCTATTCAACTCGATTTTTGGTAGTTTAGTGAAGTGAAACAAATACTTTTTAGAAGTGGAAAAGAAGAGCACCATGCCAGTTGAGCCATTCCTTTTAAAAAAGTTCACTTAAAACTATTTTGATTTTATGCTAACATTTGTAATCCACTTTATGGCCAAGGTTCTTAGTTCAGAATATTACTGTTGACATACTGGGAGAAAATGTGTTTTCATGGCCACACAGATACCGAGTTATGATAGTGACGTGAAACTAAATTTGCTTACATCTTGTTTTAACTGCCATCAAATTTAGGTACCCACGGACAAGTTACCATGCATGAAATTGTTACCAAGCTTTTATAGAAAATAACAAAAGTTAAGATTGTTAATTTCCAACAAACAATGAATATAGTTTTTCTTCAGCAAACAGCCATATTTTTCAATAGAGAAACACATATTTGAAATTGAAGCAGAGCTGTAACTGGATGAATATTATGGAAGTCGAGAGCTGTCATAAGACCAGGATCATAGTCCCTAGAAGAAAGAAGGAATGTCTCTTGCCAACAACACTTTGTTAGCATTCCTTAGCAGCAACCAAGGTCTGATCAACATCAACAAAGTATTCTGCTCACACATTGCACTGCCAATTGTTGCATGAGCAAAGTTATCTCTGCATATATAAATATAGATTCAAACAATATGAATATAAATATATATATGAAAGTTGGACACAAATCCACCTGCAAGACCAGAAATGTACCTCCAACCACCAAAATAAATAAATAAATAAAAAATTTAAAAAATACACAAATTAAAAATCACATAGCAAAACTAGAAATGGATATTTTGGGGCTGGTGATGAAAATATGGCTGCCAGACCCACAAACATTATCATAGTAATGGCTTAATTTGACCCTTGATGAGAAGTCTGTTTCATTCTGCATCAAATGATGTTTCTAAACCATTTATTTATTTATTTATTTATTATTGACCCTTGATGAGTAGTCTGTTTCATTCTGCACCAAATGATGTTTCTAAACCATCTTCAAATGCAGCCTCATATTCATCACAATCCAATAAGCTAGACGGGCCACCAGCAGGTACTTAATTATCAGATATCTCAAAGATGTCATGGCTAATAATCACTACAGCTGCTGTCTGGGAGGGTCAAAGGAGACACACTTCCCTTGCATTACCCCTGAAAACATTCACTCCACAGGGTGACTAAGGAAGACTACACTCTGAAAATAGACCAAAAACCCTGATATGCCCAGTATCATCTAAAAGTGTCTAAAATAGACCAACATTTGAAGATCAATTTATGAGTAGAATATAAATAACAGTATACTAGTAGAATGCTAGTGGTTTCAAAGGCTTTAGCACTGACAAAACGGAAGGAACTTACCACTACATGTATAGTGTGTTGCTGTGGAGAGCCCCCAAATTAGCAGCAGGTAGCAACGGAGACAAGAAAAATGCAGCAATAAAGACAAAAGCAAATGCAGAGAGCAAGCAGGTTATATAGATATCCAAGAGGCAGCAAGCATATGCAAAATTATTCAGTTAAGCAATATTAAGCCTTTCATATGACAATGTTAGAAGCTGTATGGCTAAAAATTAAACTGTAAGAGTCAAATCTCACAATATCTAGATCATACCAAGTTTGTGTTGACTGTGTGCTAAGCCAGAAAATATTTAGCTACTGTCAGGAAGCATGGTAAAATAGGAAGCACTGTCACCTAGGCGCAGTACCAGTTCTCTGGACGCAGGCTCCAACTCATCCTTTCCATAGTACAAGTCCACTTAGTTCAGAGTTCCAAGTTAATAAATGCTTCCGCTCTTCTAGCAGAAGATTCTCCCCTTAAGAAACTGTGAAAAATTCTAGAATCTTTCCATACACAGGTGCTCGAAATAAGTTCGTGAAAGACTATGGGCCTGCAAAGTGTCCAATGAAATGTGCTTCTTTTTTCCTTTTAATTTGCTTTCTTACTTTGTAGAAGTTACAGTCAGAAGAAAAAAAAGTATGCTTCTAAAATTTCCATTGTGTGAGTTCCAGAATGCTGTACTGCTTTCCTAACTCACCGAAAAAGCCAGTGGCATGTAGGGTCGACGTCGAACTAGTTTTTTACGATCCCTTTCCATCTTCTCTTTCTGAGCCAACTGTTGATAATACTCAACCAGCTTGTTTATCTGTATAAAAAAAGAATTTTGTTTAAACAGAGAATAAGAAGGAATTCTTCAAAAGGTATATATTTTATAGCAGATATTAATTTTGAGGCATGCAGCAGGCCTCCTTTCTACCCTTTATCCTAAATTTATTAACTTTCCTACCATTAAATTTAAGGTAAGATCTGTTATATTCCTCTCCCAAGCCTATCATTCTCTTATTTGTTAGAGGATGTTCTTTAAGCAACATTTAGTGTTGAAACACTGACATTATACTTATATCATCATTTTTACTGATGCGATCAATTATTCATTTTTAATTAATAGAAACCAAACCTGAGGATTTCATTACAATTTTTTTAAAACCAAGTTTCTCTCCTCCGCTTTTTCAGCATGCCATATTATGTATAGAGATGACCAAATCCATCAATTCCTGATCTGCATCACTTGAGTTTACTCAGTTCAAGAAATTGAGTGACACCACCAAGGCCAGAGGGGAGAGCACTTTCTGGAGCATGCCTTGCCCCAGCAATCTTATAATGGGAAATAAACCTCTATGTATGAAACAGAGACCATGAAGAAAAAGTAATAAGAAAGCCACCCAGTTAGCCTTATCAGTGCTATGAGCGGCCTTTCTGGAAAATATCTGCCAAGCATAGCAATTTTTTAAAAAAAGACACAAAGTAGAATCCTATTTGGTTATTCCACTTGTGCAATGGATCACTGCACAAGTAGAATAACCACAAAGCTTGCACAAGTAAGTACCTACTACCTCTTCACACAAGCAGAAATCTGCTCCACAAACACCACCTGAGCAGTAGAGATCATAGGAAGCTAGTGCCTGTTTTATTATGCTCTCTTCTGATGGTCAACAGGATTTTAACTAATGAAACGTGAATGACATCATATGCTTCTTTCATATGGAGGCAAGCCACATCATATAGTGCAAAGTCTGGCTCAGGCTAACAGTAGAAAGGATTGAAGAGGAAGGGGTTTCATTCATGATGACTACTGTGCTGAGGGGAACATACTCTATCAGTAATAGTGAGGGGCCTTTCATTTCAGGATGAATGAAAAACCAAAGAAAAAGGTCCTTTTTGTTGTCTCCGATTTCCAAAAAAAGAATGTCTTAAAAACAAAAGATTTGTTTTAAGAAAAGAAGGGTGCACAAATTATTTGTGTCTTTATTTTCTTCTTTTGTTTGACCCTTCTTTCACCTGCTGTATGTAAAATTGCCTGATTGGTTCTTCAACAATCAGTGTTACAACAGCTGCTGTCAGCAGCTAACCAGAATGTCCAGAGTGTGTGTGAAATTTTAAACCTATAAAATGGCCTGGACTGGTAGGAAACAGGAGGAATGCTTTCGTTGCTTCACTCCACTCATTTTTTGTGTGAGTGTGCTACATCCCTCCTAGTGCCCTCCATCTTATGCTGACTTTTTGTTTGTCCCTTTCCTTTTTTCTTTGAAGTTGGGGATTGGGGATTATTTTTGCTGCTTGCCTACTCCTGTACTAGACTCAAAGAAGAGAAGAAAAGGAAGGCATCAAGTGCCAGGAGAGCAAAAAACCCTCTCCATATTCTAGCTGTTTTGGTTTGGGAAAGCTTTGATTGCATTTTTTACCTTTATTTGCTTGCTGAACCTTGGTTTTTGGGAGAGAGGGCTGCGTGTGTATTTTGTTTTGCTATTTTGTGTGTGCACGCACACATACTTTTCCTGGTTTTTTAAAAGTGTCATTTACATTTGGTTAATTTACTAAATGTTCTGTTAAAGTGTATACTGTAGAGATTTTTACTGGGATTGCTTTGTTTTGTGCTTCTTACTGTTAGTTCTACTGTTGCCTGTTTTGGGATTAGATTGATTCTCTGTTGCCCTAGCCCCACTTTTTTGGAATAGGTTCAGGGTTCATTAAGGTTTTTGGACTATTAACACCATAAAAAGAGCAAATGGGAAAAAGAAAATGAAATAACACAAAAGAGGTGGTCCTTCTAATATGAAATGAAATGATCAGTACATGAAACAAGTGAACATGTTACAAACACCAACACCGCAAAACGAAACAAAAGTTCTTGATATGCACATCCCTGATCAATACTGCTCCCATGCAGAAAGACAAAAGTCAATGCAGTATAGTGGAAATAAGGAGATTCCCTGGCCTGAGCAATGGCCAGTAATCTGCTTATGGAAGAAACAGAATGTGTACATCAGTCCTTATACTGATCACTTATAATCTAAACTGTAAACCTGGATGTAACCAAATCAATACAAGAAGCAGTACCTCAAAGATTACCTGTAGTGAAAAAATATTAGGAGTACTTGGCACAATTTCCTCAATTTATTTTCATTTCCAGTCCCTGTTTAACACTATACTGTTAAGTCAGCAGGGGAAAGATGCTGCCTTCTCTAACCATGCAAGACTCATCCTCTCAAAATTGATCCAATCTTGGCCAACATTTCTTCTGTGAATCAGTGGTAGGCACTGGATGCAAAATGCCAAACTCTTATTTTGCAAGCTATTGTATTTAAACATAAACATTTTCTCCAGTTACCTTTTGAGTATGAGGATTCTCTGGCTCCTGCCAACCTCCACTGGCTGCAATGCAAACAAAAATAATTGAAAGGCAGAGGATGGTCAAGTTTGGATAAACAAGATAAAATATATCCAAAATTACTGCTGACTTTTCTTCCATATCATTGGCTAGTACTTGGGGTATATTTAGTATCAAATTGCAAAACACTGTGGGCTTTACTTTCTCCTGCATGCCCTGAAACAGGTACAAGAACTGCATTATACGCCGGGTTCTTGATGCGCACATCCCTGATCAATAGTGCTCCCATGCAGAAAGACAAGTCAATGCAGTACAGTGGGAATGAGGAGATTCCCTGGCCTGAGCAATGGTCAGTAATCTGCTTACAGAAGAAATAGAATGTGTACATCAGTCCTTATACTGATCACTTCTAATCCAAACTGTAAATCTGGATGTAACCAAATCAATACAGGAAGTAGTACCTCAAAGATTACCTGTGGTGAAAAAATATTAGGAGTACTTGGCACAATTTCCTCAATTTATTTTCATTTCCAGTCCCTGTTTAACACTATACTGTTAAGTCAGCAGGGGAAAGATGCTGCCTTCTCTAACCATGCAAGACTCATCCTCTCAAAATTGATCCAATCTTGGCCAACATTTCTTCTGTGAATCAGTGGTAGGCACTGGATGCAAAATGCCAAACTCTTATTTTGCAAGCTATTGTATTTAAACATAAACATTTTCTCCAGTTACCTTTTGAGTATGAGGATTCTCTGGCTCCTGCCAACCTCCACTGGCTGCAATACAAACAAAAATAATTTAAAGGAAGAGGATGGTCAAGTTTGGATAAACAAGGTAAAATATATCCAAAATTATTGCTGATTTTTCTTCCATATCATTGGTTAGTACTTGGGGTATATTTAGTATCAAATTGCAAAACACTGTGGGCTTTACTTTCTCCTGCATGCCCTGAAACAGGTACAAGAACTGCATTATACGCCGGCAAACATGTGCTTCCTGATTTTGTGTTCCTAGTTTAACATGAAATAGGGGCAGGGGAAGTATTTGCAGATGACTGGAAGATAAGAATGATGGAATCCCATTTTGTACTTTCCAATTATTCTATACAAATGCTTCTTCTCCCTGATCTTTATTCCATCAGCCAGACCTTTTTGGGTTTTAGAACCCATATGAGGAAAAAGAGTAGATAAACAGCTGGAGGCCGAGATTTACAGAAGGTCATTAGGGGCAGGAGAAGAATTATGTACATAGAGTCCCCTAACATGTAAGGAGAAAAACACTGTAGGTACAGTATACGCTCAGATGTACTCTTAAAAGTATAAACAAGAAAAACATAAGGTAAATGCATATCCACTTCAAAAATCGTCTAGTACAATTCCTGAGTATGAAAAATTAAGGAATTCTTCTAAATTGATGGGATTCTCCATCTACAGCGGAGAACTATCAACTCCTGCAGAAAAGCAGGAGCAGGATTACTTCCTTGCCTTTTCACCCATATCCATGTCCCGAATGGATGTTTCTCATGTACAGTTCTCTCCCACCAGAAGATGGCAATATATAAGTGGTAGCCTTGGAGGCACTAGGACAGGGTATTCAATTGTGTGCTGACTGAAGGGAAATAAGCTGTGCTCAGTTCCCTTCAGACAATCTTCTCCTGCATTTCCTGAAGCAGGTACAAGAACTGCATTACACACTAGCAAACATGTGCTTCCTGGTTTTGTCTTCCTTGTTTAACATGAATTAGGGGCAGGAGAAGTATTTGCAGATGACTGGAAGATAAGAATGACGGAATCCCATTTTGAACTTTCCAATTATTCTATATAAATGCTTCTTCTCCCTGATCTTTATTCTATCAGTCAGACCTTTTTGGGTTTTAGAACCCATATGAGGAAAAAGAGTAGATAAACAGCTGGAGGCCGAGATTTACAGAAGGTCATTAGGGGCAGGAGAAGAATTATGTACATAGAGTCCCCTAACATGTAAGGAGAAAAACACTGTAGGTACAGTATACGCTCAGATGTACTCTTAAAAGTATAAACAAGAAAAACATAAGGTAAATGCATATCCACTTCAAAAATCGTCTAGTACAATTCCTGAGTATGAAAAATTAAGGAATTCTTCTAAATTGATGGGATTCTCCATCTACAGCGGAGAACTATCAACTCCTGCAGAAAAGCAGGAGCAGGATTACTTCCTTGCCTTTTCACCCATATCCATGTCCCGAATGGATGTTTCTCATGTACAGTTCTCTCCCACCAGAAGATGGCAATATATAAGTG